TGAACCGGAGAAGATCTGTGCCCGTGCGACACGGCACAGGTGCGTGATACAACGCACAAACAACCGCTTACCGCACACCGACCCCGGACGAACCATAGGCCGCTCCGGGATATAAAAGCCGAGCGATTTCGGCAGTCGAAACCAGTTCCTTCTCTCGAGCTCGAGACGGTGTCTCGGGCTAAAGAGATCCTCCGGTGCTAGAGGCGCTGTCTCGAAACACCACATCCGATCCTCCGGTCGAGGCGTTGTCTCGACAAGACCCGGTGCTAGAGGCGTTGTCTCGAACACCACTTCCTGGCCATCCGGCCGAGGCGTTGTCTCGGCAGAACCTGGTGCGAGAGGCGTTGTCTCGGACACCTTCCTGACCGTGCGGATCGAGGCGTTGTCTCGACAAGACCCGGTGCTAGAGGCGTTGTCTCGACGATCACCTGGTGCGAGAAGCGTTGTCTCGGACACCATCCTGACCGTGTGGATCAAGGCGTTGTCTCGATCCTCTCCGGCACTTCGGTGCACACCGTCTCCGTCGGCTCCACAAGCCCGGAGATTCAATCGGCCGTTGTCACTGCCACACCGAATAAACAGTCGTTCTCACGACTCAAACGGCCGTTGTAACCGCCACCAACAAACAGTCGTTCTCACGACTCAACCGGCCGTTCTTACGGTCCAGAACAGACTCTGGGTACAAGCTTCCCCCCGTGTAAATATACCCTGTAGGTTTAAGATTAGTCATAAGCCGTCGCGTCCGGATTNATCCTGACCACACCGACCGTATTAATTCCCGCGAATTATTCCGCACAGAATCACCGCGCCGATAAGTACGAATCATCAAATATCCGTTGTAAATACCGATGACATAAAATACCGTTCAAGTGATACCTACTGTAAATATCATAATTAAAGTGAATAAACCTTCACTACCTTACAGCATTAAAATCACNGAGTGTCGCAATTTCACGCCTTCCCCTTCCCGATCCTTGGCGTCGACCGAGCTGTCCGGCAGGCGGAAGACCGGGCGAAGCCGATAGAAAATCGGCTCCGTTACAGCAGCACTTGCGACTGCAGGTCAAACACGGCCTGCAGCCTCCCAAGTTGCCCATGATTGCGCATGGAAGCACGCAGACCTCCCCGCGCGTAGAAAGTACCTCAGCGCCAAAGCTTTCTGCTGTGCTTCGGAAGCATGAGGCCTCTCTTGACTTCCTCTCGGTGGGTGCCTTGGAACCGGACATCCCACCGGCTTACCGACCACCGATCCAGGGGAAAAGTGTGGTCATACCGGAGAGACATGCTCCTCGACAGTCTAAGGCCTCTTCGGCCTCCCTCCGGCAGTCCGGAGCCTCCACGGCTCCCGTAGAGACCATGGAAGAAACGCGGGACCTTATTCTTGCTGCGGTGTAGCAGCTTCCTACCGGTTTGTCCCCGTTTGAAACAGTGGAAGCCATAGCCCAAGACTACAAGAGTAGTCTTTATACCCAAGCCTGGTAGAAATGGCCATATAGCAGCCAAAGACTTCAGACCGATCAGTCTCACTTCCATTGTACTGAAAACACTAGAGAGACTGGTCGATAGATATCTGAAAATTGGCCCTCTGCTAGTACATCCGCTGTCTCCGGCTCAGTATGCGTACAGGGAGGGCAGATCAACAGATACTGCCTTGCACCATCTCGTGGGCGGAGTCAAAGTGCAAAGGGAAGCAAAGGGATATGCCCTGGGCGTCTTTCTGGACATTGAGGGACATTCGATAGCACCTCATATAATGTCATCAGGGAAGCAATGACCGGGCATTACATTCCCGCTGCTTTAGCAGACTGGACACAAAGCATGCTAACAGGAAGAACCCTGATTGCCAATCAAGGGGACTCAAGTGTGCATGGTTTCCCCGCTAAAGGATGCCCGCAGGGAGGAGTTTTATCTCCCCTGCTCTGGTGTCTGGTCGCGGATGAACTTCTACGAGAATTACAGAAGAAAGGCTTCCTCGTCTTTGGCTACGTTGATGACGTGGCTATTATAGTGCGAGGTAGGTTTCTTTCAACACTTAAGGAGACTATGCAGAAAGCCCTTAAGATTATGCAAGACTGGTGTCAATCAAAAGGACTTAGGGCTAATCCACTAAAGACCAAGGCCATGATTTTCACCAGGAAATACAAACCTGAAGCCATTGAACCGTTTAGACTCTGGCGAGAAGATATAGAATACGTTCGGTCAGTAAAATATTTGGGAGTCCACTTAGACACCAAACTGAATTGGAAAACACATCTCGATATAAAGAGATCCAAATTCTACGCCTCATACTGGGCGTGTAGAAGAGCAATGGGAAAATCCTGGGGTATTAAACTAAATACTTCCCTATGGATATACAAAGCGGTACTTGTACCGAGGTTAACATATGCTGCTGTTGTTTGGTGGCCCAGAGTGGAAAAGATGGAGTCAAAGAACCTACTAAAAAACCTACAAGGTAATTACTTGAGTGCTGCGGTAGGGACTATGAGAACGACAACCAACAGAAGCGCTGGAAGTGGCACTCTGCATTCCACCTCTAAGACTGACTGTCATCAGCGCTGCCAAACTCACAGCATATAGACTAAGGTGTCAGGGGTAGTGGAGAGATTTCGGAGTAGGTCATACCAAGCTCGAGTTTCTTCACAAACCTCCCTTTACCTTAAAGCAAGATAGAATATCCAGAATACGCCAAGTGGACAAGGCGTTCTCCATAAACTTGACCACCAGGGCAAACTGGAAAAACAAAAATCTTCAGATCCAGCCGGGCACTCATGCATGGTTTACTGATGGATCTGGAGCAAACGGCTGCTATGGAGCAGGCATCTACTGTCCAAGATCAAATCACAGAGAGTTTTCTCTCTGGGTAAATTGGCCACGGTCTTTCAAGCGGAAGTCCTGGCCATTCTGGAATGTGCAAGACTCCTACTCTCAAGAGAGACGAAAACTAGAAGGATCAATATCTATACGGATAGTACAGCAGCCATAGGAGCTCTTGCCAAGACCACCACTGAATCTTTAGTGGTTTGGGACTGTGTGCAAGCTCTAAACAGATTGGGCGAGCGAAACAACATCACGCTTGTCTGGGTACCTGGCCACCAAGGTATCCAAGGAAATGAAGTGGCTGATAGTCTGGCAAAACTAGGTACCTTAGAGAAACCAGTCTGCCAGATAGTTGGAGTTTTCTTTGCAACAGGGAAAAACCATATCAAGGACTGGCTGAAAAGGGAGCACAGGATCTCTTGGGAGAAGAGCTGCCACCAAGCTAAGGCCCTGATGACTCAGCCATTGCCAGGTAGGACCAAAAAACTACTGACAATGAGTAAGTACAGGCAAAGACTGTGTATCAGTCTCCTCACAGGGCATTGGGCCTTCAAAGCACAGTTATTCAACTTAGGCCTAGTTGAGGAGAGTAGTTGTAGATTTTGTGGTGAAGAGAGAGAAGACAGCGTGCACATGTTGTGTCGCTGCCCGTCTCTAGCACTCAAAAAATTGAGATTTTTGGGCTCCATGTTTGTGGAGCCCGAGAACCTGAAAATAATTAAAATCGGCCATCTGTGTAGCCTGGCAAATGCCGGGTTTTAGCAGCTTGGTCGATTAACAACTAGCGGGAGTCGCAGAGGATCTTAGAGATCTAAGTGACAATAAGGTCTCACAAGCCCCCCGATTCACAAGCCACCCCGTAGAGTGGTCCAACGAGCTGGAAGTCACTGAGGAGTTCCGCCGGGCCGTCCGTCGGATGACGCGGAAGAACACCGCTCTCGGTCCCGACGGTGTGCCCGGCAAAGTACTGGGCTTTGCCTTCGGACGGGTCCCTTGGAAGAGCGCCTCAGGCAAATATTTACTGATTGCCTAACGACGAGCTGGTTCCCCCCAGCGTGAAAACAGGCCAACCTGGTCCTGCTTCGTAAAGAAGGGAGGCCTGCGGACTCGCCATCCGCGTACCGGCCGATTTGTTTGCTCGACGAGGCGGGCAAGCTCTTGGAGCGCATCATTGCCAATCGTCTCGTCAAGCACCTGTCACGGGTAGGTCCCGACCTGGCCGATTGCCGATACAGGTTCCGTGGGGGACGGTCAACGGTGGACGCCGTTTTTTATCTTAAATCCCTCACGGAGGCGTCGGTCATGCAGGGAAAAAGGGCATTGGCGGTCTCTTTAGACATATTCAATGCCTTCAACTCCTTCCCCTAGGACAGCATAGGGTGGGCCCTCGAACGTCACAGGGTTCCACCCTATCTGATTAGGCTCCTCGGTGACTACTTCCGTGGCAGAAAGAGAAATAAGATATACCGGCCGGAATGGATCACCACTGTACAGAGAGATGTGCCGCGGGGTCGGTTCTTGGCCCACTGTTGTGGAACCTCGGATACAACGTGGTAATCCAAGCCGCGCTCCCCAGAGGACTATCGGTCATCTGCTATGCAGATGACACTTTGATAGTTGCCTCTGAGGAGGACTGGCGCAAGACCAGGCTGTTGGCCGAGGTTGGAACGAACTGCGTCGTTGACAGCATCGAGAAACTGGGCCTCAAGGTGGCCGTCCACAAAACAGAAGCCATGTGGTTTTATGACCACTGTCGTGGGCGGCCCCCTGGACTCAGTCTCTCCGTAGGTGAGGCACGGGTCGAGGTGAATACTACCATAACCATACCTAACCTACCATAAAGTACCTTGGTCTCTTCCTCGACCCGAAGTGGCGTTTTGACGAGCACTTTGCTCGTTTGGACCCCAGAGTTCGGACAGTAGCCAATACGCTGGCGCGCATTCAGCCGAACCTTGGGGGTCCGAGGTTTAAAGTCCGTCGACTCTACGCAAATGTTGTCCACTCGGTGGCCCTATATGGGGCGCCGCTGTGAGCGGAAGCCGCTGCGAGGGCTGGAGTGCGGAGCACATTTGGGCTGCTCCGCTCCTCCCAACGAGTAGCAGCCCTTCGCGTCATATGCGGCTTCCGCACTGTAGCTAGAGAGACGGCGGGCGGGGATGCCTCCCCTTGCCCTCCTTGCTGACATGTACTCGGCGAGATACTCTCGCCGAGTCGAACTTCAGCAGGAGGACCTCGCAGAAGACGCTCTGCGGGAGGCCCTCGCCGAGTCGGAGCGTCAAGCCCGGCGACAACTGCTCTTTGACTGGGAGCAGTTCCTGTGCGAGCCAGACGTGGACGCTCAGGAAGTCGTCCGGGTTGTCCGGCCCCACTTGGAGGTGTGGTTGGACAACGAGGTCAGACGCCTCGCCTACCGTGTGACGCAGGTGCTTACCAGGCATGGCTGCTTCGGTAAGTACCTGTGTCGCATTGGACGCGAGTCAACGACGCAGTGTCACGAGTGTGGGGCGGCCAGTGACTCGGTCGAGCACACCACGGTGGAAGAGTGTCCACGGTGGGCCTCTGAACGCCGGGAACTGGTCGCCAAAATAGAAGAAGACCTCTTCCTGGAGGGCCTAGTAAAGGCGCTGTGCTCCAGGGAGGAGGAAGAGTGGGGTGCAGTTGTCTCCTTCTGCTTCATCACAGTGAAGCAGAAGGAGGCATCTAAAAGAGAGAGGGAAAGGCTTCCTTTCTTTCTGGGAAGACCTCGAGGGCATGCGCGAGCGGGCGGCGGGTTTGCCCCCGTTCACCGCGGTCGTCCTCGTGGTCGTGGCACTCTCAGGTAGTGTCAAATCCTCCCCCCTCTCTAAGGGAAGGAGGAAGAAAAAATCTTTGTTAAAAGGGGTGGTGGGCGTTGGGGTGAGCCGGTCTCCCCTCGTTAGCTTATCCGCCCGGAGGAGAAGCGCTTGTGAGAGGAACGCGAAGGAAGAATACGTGGCGGTCGGTAATCCCCGGGGTGGTACCGTCTACTCCAGGGGGTGGTTTAATTAAAATCGCCACGGGACCGCGACGAGTCGGGATGGGGGGCCCGGCTCGTTTTGCACGCGGTCCGGGTTGGGATGACATTGCGGTGTGTGTCCCGCAGTGTCACCAAGTGTGAGTATGCAAGGCACCTTGAGTGCAGGAGGGGAGAAAACACGCAGTTCTTTCCCCTCCAGGTCTTCCGAGCTCCAGAGAGGGATCTGCGCGCATCCTCGTAAAGAAAATCCCAGATCCCTCTCTATCATGAGCTGAGTGGACACACTGTGGTGGTTTTACTGGGTAAACCTCCTCCCTCTTGAGAGACGGAAGAGGGAGTCTCACATAACCTTGGCCCTTCCCCCCAGGGTCAGGGTATCCATAAAGAATTTCCACCACGTTAAAAAAAAAAGGATAGGATAGTTTAAGTTCCCGGGCGAGTTTGGAGACTCCCTCCTTGTCGTGGGGCCCGGGCTTGAATGTGGGAGTGATTGGAAGGGCTGTGCCGGCGGGAACTTCGGTTGCTGGCAGGGTCTCCCTTGCCGGACAGGCCTTCCATGACCTACCAGACTAAGAGGAGTTTTCACGGGCAAATGGGCTCGTTACCCCAATGGGGGAGCCGTCTAGGGAAAGGAAAACCCTGACAAAAAAACCGTTTTCTCATAGCACCATAAGCAAAGTACACGAGTTGATTTACCGCCACAAGGGGATCAGATCTCCAGTAACCGGCGTGGGAGGATTGTTGTCCCAGGGACCCCCATGTCGTCATCTAGCTATGGGCCAACCACGTCCTGCACCGCAGAGGGCGTGGTGGAAGCTGCGTCTGCGAAGGCGTCCGCGGGCAATTCCTCGATTTCCCGGGGCCATGCTGCGTGCGCAGTTAAGGAGTGGCCGGTAGTCGGCAAAAATAAGTTCTGGGCCCTGGGTGAGGAGCCCATGGATACGCTGCCTTCACTAGGTGCAGGTAGAATGGCCTCTACCGTTGCGGTTCCTTCCCCGCAGCCGCGAGTCGTACTTACCCGAGTAGATATGCCAGTGTCGATCGCGGGACACGGCTCGCGTTTGGCGGTAACCGCGGGCACGGCGCCCGACAAGGCGAAACAGTGCCGAGGAGTCCTCCTGTGCCTCCAAGGTAGTTCTGGAGCCACCACCTCCACACGTCACGACTCTGGTGCGTTCAGTGACGCAAGGTCTCGAACTCCTGATTGACGTACATCAGGAGTTTCCTGCCAAAGTGGAGGACGATGGGGATGATACCTGGGTGAAACTGAGCGAAGACCTGGAGAAGGGTATCATCTATGTCCAGAAACGGTCCGCATCTTTCGCCGGTCGGAGCGGCAGATGCGGGAAATAATTAGCAGGGCGAAAGAGCGCGAACGTGCACGGCACAGTGAGCTCGAGGACGCTCACCAGTCGCTGCTCGCTGAGCGCGACTCGTTACGAGCCCAAGTTGCTGGGCTCCAACGGGAGCTGCGGGGCATCCAGAGGTCTACTTCCGCTGCCTCCACACAGATACCGGCGCCGTCTCCGCCGGCGCCGCCGATGCCAGTAGTAAGAGCGCGTCCCGCGTCTGTCACCGTGGCGGTGCAGACCGTAGACTGTGGGCTTTCTCCTTCGTCCCACTACGAGGGTTGGAGAAACCGACCGCTTTATGATAGCGGTCGGCACCCTGGTTGATGAAAGGTTGACCGCTTTTAGGGAGGCGTTGTTCGGGAAGCTTGCCCCCCTTTTTAGCGAGGCAAGGACCTTTCCATCGAGCTCGGACCGCGGCCCCGGCGTCTCGCGTTGTGGTGCTGCGGAGGCTTCGGCCTCCTTAGCGGTTTGTGCACCTGTCCGGTCCGCTCCGGCGGCGGATAGCTGAACTCGGATAGTGAGACGGCGTGCCCGGAGCCAGGGAAATGCGCCGGCCGCCATTCCTGTTTTCCGTGCATCTTTCTCCCCTTCCTCGCGCGGGGTGCAAGAGACTCCGGGAGGTGGTGCCGGGACTCGTGCGCAGGGAAAACCCCCGCCGGTTCCCCCGCCTCCAACAAGGGCTGGATGAGGGAGTCCGAAGCTCTCCGCCCTCGGCCGGGTTCCACCGAGAACGGCGGTTTCGTTAGGAGTAACCGCGGCGGCAAGTAAAAGAGTCACTCCGTTCGCGCTATTTGTCGAGGCTCGTTGGACTTTTAACGCCCACGGCATCGAGGAAGTCCGTCCTCAGGTGGGCCCTCCTGTTGAAGATACCCGGACCAGGAGAGGTGCTGTCAAGGCAGATGCCCTGGCAGCCAAGCTCCGGGAGACATTTGCGGGACGTCCGGGGGTGCTGGTGAAGCGCCCCGTCAAACATGCGGAGATTCGCATGCGGGGTCTCTCTGTGACCTCGCGAGGAAGTGATTCGGTCTCTTGCGAAGGCGAGGGGATGCAAAGAAGAAGAAGTCCGCGTGGGGGTTGTCCGCCTTGTCCCGTCGGGTCTCGGTACCCTGTGGGCACGTTTGCCCCTTCGTGGTGCCCGGCGGGTTGTGATAACGAGCAAGGTTTGAGTTGGATGGGTAGCGATGTCGGTAGAAGCGTTGCGCTCCCGACCTACCCAATGTTACAGGTGCCTCGGCTTTGGCCATACGGGGCACCTATGTAAGGAGGAGCCCGCTCGTGCGGGACTCTGTTTTAAGTGTGGTGCGGACACATACCAAGTCAAGAACTGCACGTCCGGCCCTCGGTGTCCCCTCTGTGCGGGCCGAGGTTTATCGGCGGACCACCGGAAGAAGGGACGTCGTTGTCTTTCCCCTCCCGCTAGACGTGTGCGGCAGGCGCTGGTTGCGCCGCCGCTTGGGCCCGCCTTGGTTAGCGGGCGCGCTAAGATCTCTGCTAAGACTACGGTGCCCGCAGAGACCTCAATGGAGATTGAGTCCCCGTCCAGCGTGTTGACGGGGCTCGCACCTCCCCCAAAGCGTTCGCTAACAAACGTGGTACCCGTAGCGACCGGGAGGAGAAAGGTGCGAAGAAAACACGACTCGGGGTGACGCCGTTATCGGCGAGTGTTTTGCCGGCGACTGGCCCTCCCCCAGGTAAAGAAGATGGGGCGGAGTCTATCCCGCTACCGCAGCAAACACTCCGTCCCCGCCGTTAAGACGTGTGTCTGCGGGATGCGGACTTTGTTTCCCTTCTGTCGCCCTAGGAAAGGCGTAGGTGGAGCTCCAGGATGCCGGGATGACTACATCCTTTCCCCGGAGCTCGCGCTGAAGGCTTTACGTTGCGCGGTCCGGCGCGTTGCCTAGCGGATAAGAGAATGGTCTCATGGACTGAGGTTAGCTGCGAATAACCCCTCCGGGGGGATTAAGCAGCCGCGGACAAGGAGGTGGTTACTCCTGTGGGAAGGAAGTAGTCTATAAAATGCTCCATTAAACCCGATGAAGTATCCACGTCAAAGACGAGTGAGTGCCGCCTTAAAAACATTCAAACCCCCTCAGATCGGGCTCGTTATGTTTTGTGTACCAACTGATCTAGGTGAAGGAAAACACCGATTTAAAACCAAATACAAAGAAGATAAACATGAAGTCATGGATATCAAAAGAAAGCTTACTGTTCCAGTGTTCGGACACTCAGGAGTCGACACCGTGGAAGTACTGTCTCTGCTCCCGCCGCGTCGTCATTAAATGAAAGGCAGAAAGAAGGGTCGACGGCGGGCCCCTCTGGACAATCTGCTACCGCCGTAAAAAGTGACAAGAGAAAGGCCGATAAGAGTCTGGAAACGGCTCTTTTGGAGATTCCTGGGGAAAGGGACTTTGATGATATCGCATCACACGACGTCCCTGACCTTGTCCAAGAGATGGAGGCCTGGCTGGACGAGCTTTGGACTCGGCTTTGCCGACGTTCTAAAATGTCCAAAGACGAAAAAGAAGGCAGGCCGAGGGAGCTTCTAACAAGGCTAACTACGTCTCTAGTAGAGATCAGAAACAGATTCAGCCTTCAGCGGTCCATTGATGGCGTCGAGTAGGACGTTGCCAATGCGATCAAGAAGATCCAGAAAGTGAAGAAACAAGGCTCTCTATTGGAGAGCAAAATTTTCTCACTGGATCGGGGCAGGCTGCCTCTGCGAAGAAGATTTTGGAGGCGGTTGTTCAGGGTGGTAAGAATATCAAAGAGCAATCCTTGCGTACGGTCGCTGACCTGACGGCAATTAGGGACGAGGTTAATGAGGCGCGTGCAGCGATTGAGGGGGTTTATCAAGAGATCTCTAGGTCGCTCCACGCGCTTCAGGAGAATATGGAGACGTCTATGCGTGTAATCGCTGACGTTTCCTTAGTGAGGCCTGAAGAGGCGGTTTGCTCTACTCCGGTCAGGGAGGAGAAGCAAGTTCCCTCTTCCTGGCTAGAGGAGGTTAAGAAGGTGGTCAGGAACACTGTCTCTGAAGAGATGCAAAAGTTTTTGGACCGGGGTTTCCCGAAACGAGAACCCCAATTGGGGTCTTCGGCTTCTTTGTCTGTCCCCGTTGGGGCACAGACTGAGGAGAAAAAGAAAAAGAAGAAAAAAGAAAAAGAAGAAGGAAAAAAAAGAAGAATCAGGAGCCGACGGCACCCAAACAGAGGGAACAAACAACTGCCGGAGTCGGCCGGGAGGATCGGGAGCTCCCCTTCTCCTTACCCGTCTGCCGGTTTTGCGATCCATGGTGGTTGTCCCTAGGACGGTTACTCTGCGCCTCGAGGATGAGGGTATGACTTATGCCCAAGTTCTTCGAGCCGCTAGGGATAAAGTGGTTACGAGGTCAGCAGTTATCTCAAGGGTTCGTCAAAGCATGGAAGGATACCTGCTGATGGAGGTGGGGAGAGAAAACCGCAAATTTAGAGCGGAT